TAGGCTAATGTGTGAGCTCCAAATCTATTAGACTTTCAAATAATCTTGCATCCTACTATATGTTATCCTTAGAAATTTAGAAAAATGAAGTGAAAATTAGCAAATGTACAGCAATGATATGCTTATGCTAAAATATGAAAAATAATTTTGGCTAAACGCTCAGCTTCCATCTAACTTCCTAACACATAGGAAAAGTTAAAGAGAGTGAGTGGTCTGTGAACAGGGATACATTACACTTATTATCTAAGCAATTGTGTGATTCCATTTGCATTTACTGCATGTAGTTCTAATCTAATGCTTTTGGTTAAAAATAATTCATATTCTTACCATTCCAGAATTGTTAATATTGCTGTTTGTCCTACTCTGGTGTTAATGCCATAACAATACAAAAAAAGGCTGATAGAATTTAAAAACGAGAACATAATACATTGCCAGAGATTTATCAAGCAAAACACATATTGATAAGATTGAGCCCAAACCCATACTTTAGACTTTGCCCGGATGTAAATGCTTGAAAATGACAATCAACAAAATTTACTGAGAATTAGCAATTGAGTTTGTTTCTTGCTAACACAAAACTGGTTGTCTCTTTAAAGTGAGATATATCCTCTATTTAGTTGCTTAAGGTTATATTATAAAGAAACAAAAATATTATTCAATATTAATTTTTAGAATTTATCATAAGACACATTTAATGTGTCAGGTTTGGGATTCATAAAAATATTAATATGATTCAATCCCCAAGTTAATGCAATTAACCTTGAAATTGATACATTAATATCTAACCGTATGAATTGTTCTATTTCCTTGGGCTTGCTAAACACATAATATATTAAATTTTAGTTATTTTTCAATTTCAAAATACTGATTTCTTTAAAAGAAATTTGCTTACAAGTTATGATTGTTGGCATCTTGGTATCTGTATTGATGAGTTTGAAACATCTCAGCTGTCAAAGAGTAGAAGGAAGAGCTGCTCATAACCACAGCTGGAATGGATCTGCTTCTATAAAAATGGGAAGTAGCAGCTGCAGGGAACATAAATTGTGCAATTGATTTGATTTTGCAAAGCAAACACATTCTTCGTGTTATGATTTAGCTTGCTAATTAGGCCTTGCATAATCAAAAGAACTTTAGAAGAAAGTAATTCTGAATTATGCGCAATTTCTACACCTTCTGAGATCTCCTTATAACATTTTTCACATTTCCAAGAGGAGATAATCTCAAACTGAATGCCTCAGACAACAAAAGAATGGGTGGCAAATAATGTCCTATTGAATGATTGCGTCAGACTCCCATTACTACTGAATAAAGGGAGACGTCAAGAAGAAGAATATCAATGGATCTACGACACCTGGGTCTCAAGATATAGGCAAACCAATAAAATGTTTTTTCTTATTTTGAATCAGGTGTCAGCAAACTTGTACTGTAAAGGGTCATGATAAATATTGTAGGTTTTGTGGTGCTATCTGCTTCATGATGCAATTAATCAATTTGGGCTTTCAGCAGTGAAGCAGCCATGAACAATATATAGCCAATCAGTGTGGCTGTGTTCCAATAAAATTGTACTTCTGCATACAGCTCGTGGGTGAGATTTTTCATCCCTCGGTTTATTTAATTCTCAGAAATGAGAATTGGTGATAACATATGCAATAATAGTAAATGTGACTTTATGTTGCTAAACTAACACTGTGTCATATGTATTTAAAATCAGATATATCCATATATGGAGATAATTTGCATAGTGGTAGGTATGTATGCAGAAATGCATATATTTATATACATATCTATGTATATACATAGGTACATATGTTTAAATACATATATATCTACTATACATATGCATGTGTAGGGAAAGAGAGAGAGAATATATACAAAGCATACTTTATAAAGTATGTGGGGAATAAGAGGAGAAAATAGGAAAAGTATTGTGGAACAAGCCAAACATTGCCTAAGAATGTCAATGGAATAAGCACAATTATATTGGTAAATTCATTAATTGTATGTATAATTTTGTTTCTCATTTTAACCAAACTCCCAAAGCATTTATTGAAATTAACACACCTGGCCAAGCACCAGACTTGAATCATGCAGCATCAATGCTTTAAAAAAAGCAAATTAAAAAACTCAAGATGTAGAAGCAGCAGTCATATCAGCAACCATTCTTCTAGGGAAGGGACCCACATATACAATCCTTCCCCAACAACGTTGATGCTGCCCCTCTGAAGAGTTTAAGCACAAAACAGAGTGCTTGTATCATATAAATAAGGACTTTTACAGGGGAAAACTGTCATATAAATACATTTTTATTTTATTTTATTTTTTTTTGCTTTTAAAGGATACTGCAATAGAAATATATTAAGCATGGCCTCAAATATCCAACATTTTTTTGACACTTTATTTATAACCCTGAGCAATAATTTTTTACTTAATATCATTTGTGAAATTCATCAATGATTATAGGTCATTTAGTTGCACTCCTAATATGGTATTTTATTATGTAAATATGATATACTTTTTTTTTTGTAAAGCAGGGTCTCTCTCTGTCACCCAGGTGGGAGTGCTGTGGTACAATCGTGGCTCGTTGCAGCCTCATCTTCCCGAGCTCAAGTAATCCTCCTGCCTCATTTTTTTATTTTTTCATAGAGACAAGGTCTCACTATGTTGCCCGGATCTCAAACACCTCAGCTCAAGCAATCCTCTCTCCTAGGCCTCCCAAAGTGCTGGGATTACAGGCGTGAGCCATTGTGCCCGGCCAAATATGGTGTAATTTATCATGACTGTTGTAAGATTGCAACCATGCATGTTACCTTGTTCAAGAGTCTCTCTGGACTACAAACCTAAAAGTGGGATTTCATAGGCTATATGCACTTTTTATTTACCAGTGTATAGTCAATTTTCTCTCTAAGGAGGGTATACAAATACATTCCTGTCAGCAATGTAGTTTTAATGTATCCATCCTTTTGAATCATGAAACTTTTTTTCAATAAATCCAGTATAAAATTATGTATTATTGTGGTTTTAACTTGGATTTTCTTTGTTAATAGTGAAATTAATCTTTTCATATTTTTGGGTTTGGGGGCAATGTCTTTCACCTTTTGCTCAAATTCTACCATATTTTTATCTTTTTCTTATTAATTTGGAGATAGTGTTTATAAAGTCTATGCACTAAATCTTTGTCCATTACATTGAACATTATCCAATGTACCTGGAATGTAAAATTCAGTGTAGGATCTGTTGCAACATTTTTTTTTCTCTGTCTGCCTTGTAATTGTCACATTTTATAAATAGAAATTTTTAATCCTAATGCAGCAAAAAGTACCTATCTTTCTTTAATGGTTACTGGTTCTTGTATCTTAAGAAATCCTTTCCTAACAAAAGCTATTGTACAATTTTTCTGTAAATTTTGTTTTTATTCATATTTTAATCAATCTGTAATTTTGATACCTGTGTGTCTGTGTGTATGTGTGTAGTGCAAGGTAAGAAGCTAGTCTATTATATTTTTTTTTTCCTTTTAAGCAATATTTACTCATGTCTCTTTTTTTCTTGATCATTGTCAAAATTTGTTTATTATGATAGTCTTTATTAAAAAATAAAGTTATGGCTTTATTAATTTCTAATATCTGCTTTTATCTTCATTTTTCCAGTTCTTCCATTTTATTTGGATTTATTTCATAGCTCACTGCAGCCTTTAATCTTAGGGTCAAGGGCTCCTCCCACATCAGCCTCCTGCACACCTAAGACTATAGGTGTACCACCATGTGGCTAATTTCTTAAATTTTTAAATTTTTTGTAGAGACAGGGTCTCACTATGTTGCTCAGTTTGGTCTACACCTCATGACCTCAAGTGAGCCTCCCACCTTGGCTTCCCAAAGTGCTGGGATTACAGGTGTGCACCCCCAAACTTGGCCTGTTTCTAAGTGCTTTGGTTTAATGTTTATCTCACAATTTTATTCAATGCCAGTGGTTAAGGTGTGTGTTTTCTTTCACTTTGGTTATTTTTCAGAGGTTTGCTATATATAATTGTATAGTTCAAAGTATTTCCTGTGGTAAGACTTATTCTTTATAATGTATTTTTAAATTTCCAGTTGCTCTTTTTAAATTGCTTTTATTATTTTCTATATGATTACATTCTTCTTAGAGAGTGTTTTGCATTGTTCCAAGTGTACTTAAGAGGAATACATGTTCATAATTGTTAGGTAAAGTTCCTTTTTTTTTTTTTGCTTTGCTTTGTTATGTTCTATGTAATTTCTTCATTTTAATTTTCCAGTTCACCAATTTCATCTTCAGCTGGGTCGCACACATTTTATTTATTCATTACGTTTTAATTTCCAAAATTATAGATTTTATTACTACAAATTCTATTTTGTTCTTTTCAGCTCCATCTGCTTACATTTATAGTTTCTTCTGTTTTATGTATATATTTAATTTATGTTTAAAATTTTTTCTGATGTTCCCAATTATATGATATTTTTGCAGGTTTAATTACACTGTCTGATGTTTCTGATGACTTCTTTCATAGTGGGCTGTTTCTTTATGTTCTCTGTAATTTGGGCTTGTGAATCCATGTTTCGTGGGACTTTGTGTAAATTCTTTGAGACCTGGCATGTAGGTATATCCCTTGAGAAAATATTTCCTTTTACTTCTGCCACATCTCTGGAGGCTACTAAATTGTAACCACTATAATTTATGTTTCTAATTTTATGTACTTTATAGGTAATATAAATGTAAACTTCAAGCTTACAGTAGAGTAGTACTATGGGTTTTAATTCACAGAAATTTTTTTTCATGTTGCAGATTACACAGACTTCTTCCTTGTTGGCTCCTTAAGGCAATAAATAGATTTGTTTCTCAATCCTCCATTGCACTGTGACTCTGGTCTTTCAAGAGCCCCAGGGACCTCAGTGATTTATTATCCTTGCATAGGTGCAGTGGTTTTTTTGTTGTTGTTGTTTAGTTTTTGTTTTTATTTTGACTCTGAGTAAACTTTAGAGACCAAGGTTCTAATCAGATGTCATCAACATACGAACTCCAACTTTGGCGGCCATCAGCAAACTGGCACCTGCAATTAAACCTACAGGCATGATTTTTCCATAGTAGTAGGATCTCATTCCCATAACACCAACAAAAGTAACAGATGTAGCAGCTAGGAAAACCCAAACGTTCCTTGGATCCTGAGACAGCTGGTAAGAACCCAGGCCAGCTAGGCTGCCGAAGAGCAGCCCTGCAGCCAGGGACGGCACCCTGCCTGTTTTAACGTAGCCAACGATCCTACCAAAAACAACCAGTGCTGTGTAGCCAAAGCCAAACCAATGCAAAGGCACTAACGGGAAGGGGCCCTTCTCCATTCTTGTCTTCTCAGTCCAGAAAGGAGACTACCCCAGGCCTGCATTCCCCAAGGATCCGCACCGATCTCCCGAAGGCCGGCGCGGCCCACAAGCGTGCACAAGCCGCGGGGCACAGCAGCCAGGGTCTCGCCGGAAACGCGGTTAGCAGAAGTCATGTTCCAGCTTGGACTCATGAAGGATTAAAAATCTGCATCTTCCACTATTTTCAATGTATTAAGAGAAATAAGTGCAGCATTTTTGCATTTGACATTTTACCTAAAAAAAAAAGACACCAAACTTGGCGGAGGGGTGGAAAATCAGTTGTTACCATTATAAACCTACAGAGGTTATAATGAGGATGTAACATGAGCTTATTGAGACCCTCATAGAGATCAATTCTTGTATATTGATGTTATCTCTTCTTTCTGTATCTATAGGTAAATCTCAAGGGTAAAATGTTAGATGTTGACATTGAGAACCCTGAAACCCCATTCCCTGCTCAGAGGAACAGTGTGAAAAAATAGAGTATCTGTTCTTTGGCTCATCTTAGACCACAGACTGACTTTGAAATTATGTTAAGTGAAATATCATTGAAAATAAAGTTTACTATAAATAATAATAATAATAATAATAATAATAATAAAAAGAGACCAAGGTTCTAGGTTTCTGAGATTTGTAATGATCCATGGGGCAGATGCAGGTTCAGTTCAAAATGACCACTCTGGTTTCCTGACTCTTCTCTGATTTTGGCCCCTGGGCATTTTTCTCTTATTTTCCTATGAACTCAACTGTGAATCTGAAAGATTGTTATATTTCTAAATAGTTTATGAAGGAAAAAATATTTTTTAGAAGAGTAGCCTGCCATAATACTGGTGGAAAAACACCTCTCTTTTAAAATTCTCACAATGTGGGCTTTAGACCTAACATTTATTTATGATAATAAAATAAAAACATTTTTACTATAACACAAATTTTTTTCTTTATAGTATCTAAAACTTTTCATTTTGTATTGAATAATTTTATCAATAATTTGTTTATTTATTTTTATTTTTATATAACACAAATGTTAATAACAACAGTACAATAATAACAAATCCACCACGCTTCCAAGCTGATAGGTTCCTCCCTTTGAACAAACAAACAAATAAACAGATAATTTATTAAGTCATTAGATTTTCTTTATTATCTCTTTTGATCTCTCTAGAATTAAGGATGAGTTACTAGCATATTATAAATTTACTTTCTCAGAAAATAATCTTCCTCTCCAGTAATTTGCTTATATGCTCTGTTAATGATTGACTTTCTAATTGCATTTGTCTGCTTGATGTACTTCTGAGAGGATTTTACTCTTACATCCACCAAGGTGTATAGTAAATAATTCTACCTTGAGTAACATCTTCAATATCAGTTAATCAAATGCCTAATTGGATTCTATACCTAATACCTAATAAACTAATAAAACTAAGATTGGCAATGTTGCCAATGATAAGAATTAAATTGGTTTCATTTGCTTATTTTTTTAAAGACCACTAGTGTAGCTATTGTTTATTTCCTTCATTTTAGACAGTCTAGCCAATGTGACAAATTTGTGACAAAGAGCCAGAAGTAAAAACTTCCCATCTTCAGGCATAAAAAACTTACAATGGACAGAATGACCCTTTTCAGCCCTTAACATACTTAACAAATTGTAAAGATGCTTCGAGATATTATATTTGACTATCAACTATTCTACCAGTATATGTCATGTAAGAAATCTAAAGGTATGTTGATTTAGAGGTATAGCGTTAATTCAAATGGACACCTATTTTAGTGGTAGAGGGAGCAATATCAAGTTGAGTTAGTAGAAAGAAGTCATACAAATGAAATCATAGGAAACAATACAGGTCAACTAAAATATTATAAGAAAAGGGGAAAGTAAATTACCCCAAAATTATCTATTACCATTGAAATAATAGAACAAACAAATCATAGTTTAGCCAAGTAGTGTTAAAGTTGTAGTTAATGCTAAAGGAAGCAGCTGCAACTTTTAGTTGATTCAGCAATTGGTTTTCTCACTATTTCAAATATATTATAAGAAGAATACACACATAAAACTGAGGAATATGATTGCTTCTACCGCTTAGGGCAAGCATTGCCAAATGGTGGCTCATGAGAGAAATCTAGCCTACTGCTTGTTTTTGTAAATAAAGGCTTTTTGAAACACAGCCACTCTCTTTCATTTATGTATTGTCTATTGAAGCTTTCACACTACAGTGGCTGAATCGGATAGTTGTGACAGAGACCACCTGGCATGCAAAGTGTAAAATATTTACTATTTAGTCCTTTGCAGAAAATGTTTGCCAACTTCTGGCTTAGGGAAAGCCTGTGCAAGAGTTTGGAAGATTTTTACTTTTAGGTAAAGACAAGTTATTTATAAAAGAGTTAAATTATACTGATTTGATAAAAAATGATTTGATGCCTACTAACACTTTTTGAAATTATTGTTGATAATAAGCATTTAATTGTATGTTCTACACATTAACATTATTGTCATGGGGGAAGTTTGCCCTTAAAAAACGGGGAGTTATGAGGGGGAGTTATGTTATTTGGCTCTAATGTCATAAGCTGACTTCAAGTTCTGTAAGCCTGGACAATATTTAAACTGACACATATGGAAAACTTTCTCATGTTCTTCAAGAAATTCTCCTTTGCTGGGGCCATCTCATCTGCATTTCTTTTGATGCAAATGATATCCCATCAGCTCAGTTTTTAGTGTTTTGTAGTGTAGTCAGTACATCTCTACAATGTTGAGTTGCACATCTTCCTTTTTGTACAGGATCAAATACAACCCCTGCCACTGTGCTCATTCATATGGCTACAATTGGTCTATTTATTATTTTCCACAACATAATGGCAGCAGCAATTTCTGCTTCACCTCTGCTATCATTTAAGGATCTCTAGCTTTTGAGATTTTCCAAATGAGATTCAGGAGACAAATGTTTCTTGGGCTAATTCTTTCTTCCTAGAAGAAAGCCATTCTTTCTTCCTAGGCTTTTGGTAATAGGCTAATGGCCGTACCCTTTTTTCTTCAGGGAGTAGGGCTTACAGCACAGTGTACAAGAAAGACATCCTCTTTCCAAAATAACCTTCTTATCCTCAATCACTTTATACCTTTGGTGTATATGAGGAGTTTAATGGTATTCTACGAGTTCCTGAAAAATATTTTTAAAAGTTATACATAATAATCGATCTCAATACGTCTGGTAGCTGATATCTATCAAATTTTGGTGGCTCTGACAAAACTGGATGAGTCTCATTTGAACATATCATTTCATTGACTTAACTGTGTGGCAAAGCAAGTGTCAATCAAGAGCTCCAATTTATCCCCATGGCTGCCGCTGATTAGTTAGGATGTACCTCTGACCTGGCTATGTTCTTCTTTGAAAAGTACCTATAATATAGTTTTATCTTGAGGATTTAATGAGATAACATACGTGAAAACTTCTTCTGTAGTACTCAGTAAAGAGAACAGATTTTAAAAATGCACACTCCCTTCCCTAATTCATCTAATGATCTATACAGCAATCCATTTTATCAGAAGTAGCAAATTCACAACTTGTAGTCTGAATTCTCTGTGTAATTATACCTAGCTATAGCATAGACTAGAAATTCAGTTTCTAGAAGGTCTTAACTCTCCAGGTCACCCATTTCTACCAACATGCCTCATACATTTTCTTTATCTGGCTAACCCAGATAGACATTTACACTTGAAAATTGTGTCCTATAAAATAAGACTCAAAATTCCTTTTCTCTCTTTTCTCTAATAAAATCACCATAGCATTGGACTTAAATATATAGCTTGGTTCCCTGAAATGCTCCAATGACCACCTGCTCCTGGCTCCTCTTGGCCTCATTTCTTAACTCCATCTTTCACTCTGCTCTGGCCACACTGGCCGCTGCTATTATGTGGACACAAAAAGGCAGCACGACTTCAGGATTTTTCAATTGCTAGTCCTTCTCAATAGAACACATTTGCCCCCAGATACCAGCCTAGTTTGACTCAACACTACTTTAGGTTCTCGCTGAAACAGAAGCATTGCATCCACAGAGAGGCTTCTATGACCACACTATTTAGTATAATTATTGCTGCTATGCTTTCCCTCAATAAGCTGCTTTATTTTTCTTTATACTAGTTATTATGACTTGACTTATATTATGTTCACTTATTTATTTATTATTGCCTATGGTCCCCAGTAGAACATAAGTTCTGGAAAAGTCAGCTCTTATGGCCAGCACTTGGGACAGTCCGTGATACCTTGTAAGCACTCAATGGATATTTGTTCATAAACCATAATTAGGAACACAGTAATGAATACGGTAGAACCAGTGTTAGGGTATGTGGTGACTATAATGGTGTGGCAGTGGTGGGGGGGCTTTAACTTATGAGTCTGTATTCAAGTAATATAAATTCAAAAGATGAGTTCTGGACATAGCTATCTCCTTAAATTTTAATGAGGTTTAAATTAAGGAAAAGTACAAAACTTTTAACTTCTGTTATAGATAATTGTGTATGTCAACTTGGTAGAGGCAAAGTGCTCAGATGTTTGGTTAAACATCATTTTGGATGTTTCTATGAGAGTGGTTTTTGGGTGAGATTAATATTTAGATTGGTAAACTTTAAATAAAGCAGATTGTCCTCCACAATATGGGACCTCATTCAATCAGTTGAAGGTCTAAATAGGACAAAGACTGACCTCCCCCGAAAAAGAAGCAATTCTGCCACTGCATTTGGACTTGAATGAAAACATTGGCTCTCTTCTGAGTTTTCAGCCTCACCAGTCCACCCTGCAGATTTTAGACTTGCCAGTCACCATAATTACATAAGCCAATATCTAAATCTCTCTCTCTCTCATGTATATGTGTATGTATATGTATATACACACACACACACACACATATATACACACACACACATATACACACACACACATATACACACATATATACATATATTCATACACATAAACACACACGCACGCGCGCACACACACACACACACACACATATATATATATGTTCTGTTTCTCTGGAAAACTTTAATACAGCTTCCAAAATGAAGCCATCCATTTAAATACCCGGCACTAACATTTAAGTCAAAAATGTCACATATTTATGCTCT